TTTGTCTTGGCACTTGTAAAAATTAATTGACGGAAATGTGACAAGTTTACTTCCGACTACCAAATCTATTCCATTGATCTATATATCTATTCTTATGCCAATACCACACAAGTCTTGATTACCTGCAGCTTTGTATAGACAGAAATTTTGAAATCAGGAAGCATTGGGAATCCTCTTTCTTTTTTAAGAATTGTTTTAGCCATTCTAGGTCCTTGAATTTCATAATGAAATTTGTTAGGATCAGCTTGTTAATTTTAGCAATGAAGCCAGCTTAGAATTTTGATAGGAATTTTAAAAATCCAATTGCATCTATATATCAATTGGGAAGTATTTGCCATCCTTAGCAAATTAAGTCTCCAATCCCTTAAACCGGAAATGTCTTTCCATTATTTAGGGTTGTTTTAAAATTTCTTCAAGCGTGTTTTGAGTTTATCCATTACTTTAACTTGAAATATATCTAATGTTTAGAAAATGTGTAATTACAAATCAATACTCTCCATCTTTCTCAGATTTTGAAGAGATATTATTGTCCATAATAACACTAGAGACTTTTAATTTTTTTTTTTTTTTTTTTTTTTGAGCAGAGTCCTCACTCCTGTTGCCACGGCCAAGTATGCCATGGCGTCAGCCCTAGCCCCAGAAACCTCAACTCCTGGGCTAAAGCCAATCCTCCTGCCCAGCACTCAGCGAGTAGCTGGGAACTATAGGCAATGTGCCACTATGCCGGCTCTCCAGCTAATCTCTTCCTATTTTTTAGTGAGACCGGTCTGCATTCTTGCTCAGGCTGGTCGCGAACTCCTGAAGCTCAATCCATCCACCCAACTCAGCCTCCAGAGTGCTAGGATTCACAGCGTTGAGCCCACCAGGCACCAGCCAAAGACTTTTTATCTCCAAAGGGTCCTTAACTAAATTCCTCTTCCCTATCCCATATTTGTCTTTTCAGCAGGATACGAATCTCTATTTCATCATGGTAACTAGGTTTCTATTTATGCTGATCATAACTTTCCCTAAAAGAAACACTATTTCACTGCACCAACATATTCTCTATATTCATCAGGGATCCAGTAATGCTTGTTCCACTGGAAAATTAACTTTTTACATCTGTGATGGGATGCAGAGGATTTTTCCCCTGGGGCTTATTAGTAACTAGAACGATCTTAGTTTTACAAGCTGCAATAGGAAAGATAGATTAAGATTCTTCGTAGAATAGTGTTAAATGGATAAGTATGTTTATAATTTTTTACAAACGGAGTAGAGTTAAGTTTAAAATATCTTTTATCAATGTCTAAACTGAATTCTGCCAGATGGGAAATTTAAATGCGGAATAATTTTCTTCCTATTTTGGATGTATGTCAAGCGAATATCCTGCCTTGCTTCCCTACAGAATCATATGTTGATTTGGTTGAATTAGTCACTTTTTTAATAACACAGAATAGTTTCAGCTGTACATATTTTTACTCTCCCTAATTTATATGCTTAGAGTAGTGGTATAGTACGCAAGGGGTTTAGATTTTGATTAATTTTAAAGAAGACCTTTCTTAGATAATTCCCCCCAAAAACTACACCAGAGTTAACATTGATTCTCTCTTCATCTATAAAATTGTTAAAGATTAATTAATGGCAATTAATGAAGTCTCAAATGGCTCGTCTAAAGCATATGCTTAATTCAGTTACGTCTAGTTCCTTCAAAACAGGAGAGGGTCTTGGCGCAGTGGCTCATGCCTGTAATCCTAGCACTCTGGGAGGCCGAGGCGGGGGATTTGCTTGAGGTCAGCGATTTCGACAAAGCCTCGAGCAAAGAAACGAGACCCGGTTCTCTACTATAAATACGAAAGAAATTAATGGCAACTATACAATAAGAAAAATTGACCGGCATGTTGGCGCATGGCCTGTAGTGCCCAGCTAACTTGGGAGGCTGAGACAGGAGATTGCTGAGCAGGAGTTTGGGTTGCCGTGAGCTAGTGATGCCACGGCACTACTCTAGCTTGGGACAAAGTGGACTCTGTCTCAAAAAACAAACAAAAAACAAAAACAGAGAGAGGAGTTGGGTGGCAGTGGCTCACTCGAATCCTAGCCACTTTGGGAGGCGAGGTAGGAGAATCATTTTGAGGACAGGAGTTGAGACAACATGAGTAACAAGCAAAGACCCTGTCTCTACAAATAAAAAAACTTAGCCACGCTGGTGCATGTGCTTTGTCCTATCAGGAGCTGAGGAGCTGAGGCTGGAGCCTAGTAGTTTGAGGTTGCAGTGAGCTATGGCGATGCCAATGATCTAAGCCTGGCCAACAAGAGTAAGACCTGGTCTCAAAAGCTAATAAAATAGAAATAAAACGCAGAGGTAAAATCAGCATTTTTTTTTTTTTTGAGAGCAGAGTCTCACTTTGTTGCCCAGCTAGGGAGTTGCCGTGCATCAGCAGCTCACAGGCAACCTCAAACTCCTGGTTCAAGCAATCCTACTGCCTCAGCCTCCCGAGTAGCTGGGACACAGCATGCGCCACCATGCCCCGGCTAATTTCTGTATATATATTTTAGTTGGTCAATATTTGTTCTATTTTATATAGAGATGGGTCTCGCTCTTACTCAGGCTGGTTTGAACTCCTGAACCTCGAGCATCCACCCGCTCTGCCTCCCAGAGTGCTAGGATTACAGGCGTGAGCCACCACACCTGGCCATAATCAGCATTTTTTATACGATCAACATAACTGCTATTCTTTCTAAGTTACTATGGTTAGTATATATGTACAACTATGTTAGATAATTGATTGATATTTACTGTGTTGTTTTTAAAATAATTCCTTATTGTTTCTCTATCATGTAGAATGGATGTTTTTTGACAGTATATGAGAATTAGTCTTGAAACTGACTGTGTTGTAAATGACAAGAATTCCCTTTCACAAGATGAAATCACTTTATAAATATTGCTTGGGACTAAAATGCTTATTATTTAGCCAGGCAGTAAAAGTGGCCCAAGGACATTGGAAAGAAAAATCTGAAAAGTAAATCTAAACTCTAAAAATCTAAAAAGTAATTTGTTATCCTCCTTTAAAATTGGGGGAGGCTTCTGTAAAGCAATTCCCCTTATTGTTAGAAGTTGTGCTAGGCTCAGTGCTCACACCTAAATCCCAGCACTTTGAGGAGACCAAGATGGGAAGATCTTGAAGCCAGGAGTTTGAGACCAGCAAGACTTCATCTCTACAAAAATAAAAATTAAAAGAAATAAGCAAAATTATGCTAGGTGGTGGTGGCATGTGCGTATTCCAGCTACTCAGGAGGCTGAGGCAGGAAGATCTCTGGAGCCCAGGAGTTTGAGGTGCTGTGAGCTAGGCGGATGACATGGCACTCTAGCCCAGGCAACACAGCAAGACTTTTTTTCAAAAACAAACAAAAACAAAAAAACAATGGGCTCTTATAGGATTTCAACCTTAACGTCCAACACTGAGTATTTCAAAAGTCCTAAAGCCATGAGTTTAGTTTAACACATTAATTGCCATGCTAGAAATAAAATTTTTTTCCCTGGCCTACAGTGTTTATTATGAAAATAAAAAAAAAACTTAGAAATCAAAATGATCCTTTCTATTTAATGAAAAATTCGTTATTTTTATTGTTTCTGTGGTTTTTTCAATAAAAGAGTATAACAACTTGAAAATTAGTAATGTAAAAAGTATTATGAAAAGTTGAAAAATAGTCCATAAGAGTAAAGTGTTTTCTTTCTTTCTTTTTTTTTTTTTGAGACAGAGTCTCGCTTTGTTGCCCAGGCTAGAGTGAGTGCCATGGCGTCAGCCTAGCTCACAGCAACCTCAAACTCCTGGGTTCAAGCAATCCTTCTGCCTCAGCCTCTCGAGTAGCTGGGACTACAGGCATGTGCCACCATGCCCGGCTAATTTTTTCTACATATATTAGTTAGCCAATTAATGTCTTTCTATTTATAGTAGAGATGGGGTCTCGCTCTTGCTCAGGCTGGTTTCAAACTCCTGACCTCAAGCAATCCGCCCCTCAGCCTCCCAGAGTGCTAGGATTACAGACAGGCATGAGCCACCATGCCTGGCCTAATAGTGAAACACTTTGAAATAATGCAAGCATTACCAAAACGTGACACAGAGACACAAAGTGAGCAAATGCTGTTGGAAAAATGGTGCCAAGAGACTTGCTTGCTACAGGGTTGCCACAATATTTCAATTTGTGAAAAAAAAACCAGTATCTATAAAGTGCAATAAAGTGAAGTATGGCTGTATATATTTTTATCTCTTCAACACTGGATCCATGGCAATTTTTACCTATTCAAAAGTATTTCTTCTGCCGGGCACAGTGGCTCACACGCCTGTAATCTTAGCACTCTGGGAGGCCAGGAGTTTGAAACCAGCCTGAGCAAGAGCGAGACTTCGTCTCTACTAAAAATAGAAAGAAATTAATTGGCCAACTAAAAATATGTAGAAAAAATTAGCCAGGCATGGTGGCTAGTCCCAGTTATTAGGGAAGCTGAGGCAGGAAGAGAGCTTGAGCCCAGGAGTTTGAGGTTGCTGTGAGCTAGGCTGAAGCCATGGCACTCTAGCCTGTACAACAGAGTGAGACTCTGTCTGGAAGAGAGTAAAGAAGAGAGAGAAAGGGAGGGGAGGGGAAGGGAGGGGAGGATGATTTCACATTTTCTCTTCAAAAACTTCCCATATTCCTTCTCCAGTCCTTACATTTAGTGAATGACTCACTCCCTGTTTCACTGAAAAAGGAAAGAAAAAAAATCAGAAGGAATAATCCACAAGGTCCCACCACCACGTTAATTATAAATAATCACCTTCAAATGAAAAAGGGGAGATAGAAGGAAGGAAGGAAGGAAGGAAGAAGGAAGAGAAGGAAGGAAGGAAGAAGAAGGAAGGAAAGGAGGAGGGAGGGAGGGAGGGAAGGGAGAAGAGAAGGAGGGAGGGAAGAAGGAGAAAAAAAGAAGGAGAAGAAAAAAGAGAAAAAAAAGAAGAAGAAGGAGAAGAAAAAAAAAAGAATAAAGACCAGTGTGGCTTAACAAATTGCTTTATTTTTCCATAATGAGAAGTCCAGAGGTCCACAATCCATGGCTTGTGCAGCAGCTCCACAATGTCATCAGGGACCTAGATTCTATCTTCCTTCATCCTTAGCATATGTCTTAAGGTTGCTTTATTGTCATGAGATGGTGCTTTCACATTCTAGGCAAGAAAAAAAGAAAGGGCTAAAGACATATGCCAACTCAGGCAATCCTGTTTTAGAAACTTTCTCAGAAGCCCCAGCAAACTTCTACTAACAACTCAGCAGAACCTAGTCACATAGACACCTCTGGTATAATGGGAACAGAAGGCGGGCACCCTACTCCCAACAAATCAGGGTTCTGTTGTTAAGGAAGAGAGGGAGATTTTGGAAACAGTCAGATCTGGGTACTTCTTTGGTTATATTAACTGTGAGCAAGTTACTTCTCAAAGCCACAGATTTCCCATTGGCAAAAAAGAAAAGAAAATAGTGACCAGTGCACAGAAAGTGCTCAATAAATATTGGTTTCTTTCTCAGATACCATTATTGCTCTCCTCTCATAAAAGTAGTCTTTGTAAACAAAATGCCTTTGCTCCTAGTGTTCTCATTGTTTGCTGTTTATTATAATTGGTCTGATGTGTTCTTACTGACCCTGATCAGCCTTCTATGTGATACTGCAAATAAAGTTCTTAAAACATCATATTTTAATATTAAACTCAGAATATAAGTGCAACCAAAAAAAAAAAAAAAAAGAAGAAGAGAGGGAGAATGAGGAGAAATGATCTATTCTCCATTTCACTGGAGTGGGAAAGAAAAAAGAAGCAATGAGAAGAAAAATTCCAGCTGGGCATGGTGGCTCACACCTGTAATGCTAGCACTCTGGGAGGCTGAGGCGAGTGGATAGCTCAAGGTCGGGAGTTCCAAACCAGCCTGAGCAAGAACAAGACCCCATCTCTACTATAAATAGAAATTTTTTTTTTTTTTTTTTTGAGACAGAGTCTCGCTTTGTTGGCTGGGCTAGAGTGAGTGCCATGGCATCAGCCTAGCTCACAGCAACCTCAAACTCCTGGGCTCAAGAGATCCTACTGCCTCAGCCTCCCGAGTAGCTGGGACTCGGGAGGCATGCGCCACCATGCCCAGCTAATTTTTTTTTATATATATATATTAGTTGGCCAATTAATTTCTTTCTATTTATAGTAGAGACGGGGGTCTCGCTCTTGCTCAGGCTGGTTTCGAACTCCTGACCTTGAGCAATCTGCCCGCCTCGGCCTCCCAGAGAGCTAGGATTACAGGCGTGAGCCACCTTGCCCGGCCTATAAATAGAAAGAAATTAATTGGCCAACTAATATATATAGAAAAAATGAGCCGGGCATGGTGGTGCATGCCGGTAGTCCCAGCTACTTGGGAGGCTGAGGTAGTAGGATTGCTTGAGCCCAGGAGTTTGAGGTTGCTGTGAGCTAGGCTGAAGCCATGGCACTCACTCTAGCCTGGGCAACAAAGGGAGACTCTGTCTCAAAAAAAAAAGAAAAAAAGAGAGAGAAGAGAAATTCCACATTCTACCACCAAATCTAACTGCCACCTTGAATCCATACTCATACTCTGGCTTCCTCTTGTGTGTTAGTGAATAAACATTGTGGTCCTTTGCAAGGCTAACCCGCACTGGATCCCTTCCCATTTCACTACTCTAAAACTTTGCCCCCTGGACTATCTCCTCTTTTTCCTACAACATCAATTTCTCCCTTTTGTTTGTTCTGATTAGCAAACAAACATGCTACAAGATTTCCCATCTTAAAACAAAACAAAACAAAACAAAAATAGAAGAGGGGAGGGTGGGAGGGGGTGAGGGGTAAAAACTTACCTGCTAGGGGTACAATGAACACTGTTCCAGTGATGGGCATACTAAAAACTCCAACTTAAGCATTATATTAGGTACTCATGTAACAAAAATATTTGTAGCCCTGTTACATTTTGAGATTTTTAAAAAGTTTGAAAAAAAAAAAAAAGAAAAACATCATAGGAGGAGTAAGTGAAGGTAAAATTTTTAAAAATTATTTTTCTTAATCCTAATTGATCTAATATAAGAATCATTATTTTTTCCAATAATAATGGCAACAATGTATTTATATATGCTTATATATAGTATATATATGCTTCTGTATACTTATGTATAAATGAAATGAATGTAATAAATGGATGATACAAGGAAAAAAGAAGATGAAACCAAAAACCTTCCTTTTATTGAACATCCCTATCCAGTTATCCCAATTATTACCCTTTTCTCTGATCCTTTAAAGCAAAATTCCTCAAAGGAAGATTTAAATTCTACTTTATCCACTTCCCTTGTCTTACATTCTCTCTTGAACCTACCTCAATCAGGCCTTCAGTCATCCCTACTGCTCCACTGAAGCCATTCTTGCCCAGGTCACCAGTGACCTCCACACTGCCAAATCTAATATCGGGTTACAGACTTCATCTTACCCAACCAAAAGGCATAGTTATCACCTGCTCCTGCTTGAAACATTTTCTTCATTTGGTTTCCAGAATGCCACACTCATCATTATTTTCTTCCAACACCAATAGCTGTTCCTTTGCATTTTACACTACTGGATCCTTCCCTAATTTTTTTTTTTTTTTTTAAGAGTCAGGGTCTTGCTCTATTGCAAAGGCTGGAGTACACTGACATGACACAATCATAGCTCACTGCAACCTTGTAATTGTGGGCTCAGGCCAGGTGCGTTGGCTCACGCCTGTAATCCTAGCACTCTGGGAGGCCGAGGCAGGCGGATTGCTCAAGGTCAAGAGTTCAAAACCAGCCTGAGCAAGAGCGAGACCCCGTCTCTACTATAAATAGAAAGAAATTAATTGGCCAACTAATATATATAGAAAAAATCAGCCGAGCATTGTGGCGCATGCCTGTAGTCCCAGCTACTCAGGAGGCTGAGGCAGTAGGATCTCTTGAGCCCAGGAGTTTAAGGTTGCTGTGAGCTAGGCTGACGCCATGGCACTCACTCTAGCCAGGGCAACAAAGGGAGACCTGTCTCAAAAAATAATAATAATAATAATTGTGGGCTCAATCCATCCCAACACCCTAGACTCCCTAGTAGCTAGAACTACTAGTCCTAGCTAGGACTACTAACAAGGGTTAGGGTTAGATTTAGGTTTAGGGTGCCACCATGTCAAGATAATTTTTTTGTTGTTGTTTTTTGAGATAGAGTCTTGCTCTGTCCCCCCAGGGGACAGAGCACAGTGGCATCATTATAGCTCCCTACAACCTCAACCTTAAACTCCTGGGCTCAAGAAATCCTTCTACCTCAGCCTCCCAAGTAGCCAGGACTATAGGTATGCACTACCACTCCCAGCTAATTTTTTCTATTTTTGATAGAGATGGGGTCTCACTGTTGCTCAGGTTGGTGTTGAACTCCTGGCCTCAAGTGGTCCTCCTGCCTCAGCCTCCCAGAGTGCTAGGATTACAGGAGTGAATTTTTAAATTTTTTTGTAGAGACAGGGTCTTGCTATATTGCACAGTCTCAAACTCAAGGAATCCTCACACCTTGGCCTCCTAAAGTGCTAAGATTACAGGCATGAGCCACCATGCCTGGGCCCCCACTCTATCATTTAATTCAGGTCTTTGTTCAAATAATTACCTCCTCAAAGAGGCCTTCCCAGATCATGCTATCTAAAATGGCACTACTCTGTAACTCTCATCTCTATTCCAAACTTAATTTTGCTTCATAGCATCTATTAGTACCTGAGATTATATTTCATATCTCTCTGCTATATGTTCATTTTCTTTCTCCTTCACTAGATTATAAGCTCCATGAGGGAGTTTTTATTCACTGTTATATCTACCCAACACTTAAAAAGAGTACCTGGCATGGTAGTTCTCAATAAATATTTGACCAATAAATAAATAAAAATAGAAGCCATATTGTTTTCTATTAATATATACAATGGACACTTTACAGTCTTTACCCTACTTAACCTCTCTGTAGCATCTGACACTGTGCTCCTTCTTGAAACTCTACTTAGATAGTGAGACCTCCCAGTTCTCCCTCTTTGATCATTCTTTCTCAGATTCCTTTTTTTTTTTTTTTTTGAGACAGAGTCTCACTTTGTTGCCCAAGCTAGAGTGAGTGCCATGGCGTCAGCCTGGCTCACAGCAACCTCAATCTCCGGGGCTCAGCGATCCTACTGCCTCAGCCTCCCGAGTAGCTGGGACTACAGGCATGTGCCACCATGCCCGGCTAATTTTTTGTATATATATTTTTAGTTGGTCAATTAATTTATTTCTATTTTTGGTAGAGACGGGGTCTCGCTCAGGCTGGTTTCGAACTCCTGACCTTGAGCAATCCGCCCGCCTCGGCCTCCCAAAGTGCTAGGATTACAGGCGTGAGCCACCACGCCCGGCTCAGATTCCTTTTATAAGGTTCTTTTCTCTACTTTAAGTATGATCATTCTTTGGATTCCCTACTAAGGCCAGGATCTCTACTTTAGGGTTTTCTACTAAGGCCACCCCTCTCCTAGCTCTATATATTCACCCTAAGTGATCTCATCCATTCTTTATACTTAAGATTCCAAAGTCTGTATCTCTCTCCTTTCTCTCTATCTGCATATATGTCTGTGTAACAGACATCTCCAGGTATATACCACAGACACTTAAACCTCAAAATGTGTCAAAAGGTAAACTATTACATTCTCTCATGTCTCTTCTCCATTTCCCACTCACTTGTTCCTTCAGTATTCTGATCCCAGTGAAAAACACCACCATTCACCCAGTTATTTAAACCACATACCTGCAAACCAACCTCCATTCCTTACTTTACCTCACATGCATGTCCAATCAATCTCCAAGTTCAATATTCAACAACAAATTACATATTAAGCATCTATGTGCCAGGCATTGTTTTAGGCACTGGGGATAAAGCCTGCTTACATTGGCTTAAATTATAAGGACATATACTGTTTCCTTAATGATAAATCTTGAGATAGGTGGTGTTTTTTTGTTTTTTTTTGGTTTTTTTTTTTTTTTGAGACAGCCTCACTGCATTGCCTGGGCTAGAGTGCCATGGTGTCAGCCTAGCTCACAGCAACCTCAAATTCCTGGGCTCAAGCAATCCTTCTGCCTCAGCCTCCCAAGTAGCTGGGAGGATAGACATGAGCCACCATGTCCAGCTAATTTTTTCTATATATATTTGTTGGCCAATTAATTTCTTTCTATTTTTATAGTAGAGATGGGGTCTCACTCTTGCTCAGGCTGGTTTCGAACTCCTGACCTCGAGCAATCCGCCCACCTCGGCCTCCCAGGATTACAGGCACGTGCTACCGCGCCTGGCCTACATGAATGTAGTTTAAAGTATCAAGTAAGTCTGTAAGGTTTGTTAAGACAGAATAAAATAAACCCAGAGTTTCCCTGCCTCCCTGCATTATGAAAGTCAAGAATCTCCTATAACTGTATTTAGTGGTTTAACTTTGATCTTGTATCATAAGAACCTTCTCTGAGAAAACCACTTTCTCCTCTCTTGGTTTTATTTATTTATTTTTTATTTATTTTATTTTTTGAGAAAGTCTCACTCTGTTGCCTGGGCTAGAGTGCTGTGGCATTAGCCTAGCTCACAGCAACCTCAAACTCCTGGGCTCAAGTAATCTTCCTGCCTTAGCCTCCCAAGTAGCTGGGACTACAGGCATGCACCACCATGCCCGGCTAATTTTTTCTATATATTTTTAATTGTCAAGCTAATTTATTCCTATTTTTTTAGTAGAGAGAGGGTCTCACTCTTGCTCAGGCTGGTCTTGAACTCCTGACTTTGAGCCATCCTCCCAGAGAGCTAGGATTACAGGCATGAGACACCATGCTGGCCGAGATAGGTGTTTTAAGACTGGGTCAGCAGCTTCACAATATCAGACCACTGAGTTGGCATTCCTATGATTCTCTTTGCACTAGACCCTCAAGATCTTAAATTGGCTTCAGGTATCATATCTTCAAAGGACATTTCCAAAAGCAGAAAGCAAGGGAGAGGAGTAAAACAGAAGAGCTTTCCTCAAGGGAGCAATCTTTTTTCATCTGAGAGGAAAACCATTCCCAGAAATTCCCCAGCTGACTTTCCTTTATGTCCCCATTGGTCAGAACTAGGTCCAATTGTGAAAGAGACTGAGAAAGCCAATATCTGGCAAAGGGAAACAAGGTTGCATTGATTTGTTACTTTAAAAACTGGAGTGTGGGGGTGACAAGGTTCTCTTGGAGAGAAGAATGGAAGAAGGTGGTTTTTGGAAGGACAACCAAGATTGACTTCCACAAAAACAGACATGGAATTTACATAAAAGGAAAAACTGTAAACAAGTAAATAAATGTACAAATAAGATAATTTCAGATTCTGTAAGAGCTGTGAAGTAATACGGTAATGGGATAAAAAGTGGTGGGCATATTTTAGAGATAAACCAACAAAGTTTCCTAATGGAATTGAACGTATGAGAAAAAGATGATTCTCATTCATAAATGAAGCTCAAGAAATGTAATTAGGTGCCTAAAGTCATGCTACTACTAATTGACAAAGTTAGAATTGAATCTAATCCTATGTGACATCTAAGCCAATTTTTTTCTGCTAACATCTATCTATGGAAAAATCAGAACACAAAATAGCATATATAAATTTGTAACAATAAAATAAACAAGAACAAAGGCCAAATATTTAAAATAGTTGATGCTTGGTAATTTGTTGCCATTTGTTATTTTTTTCTTTCCTTGTACAGCTGATAAAATGAACAAAATATTTTGTGAATTTCTGTATCTCACCCATAATATAGAAACTATCAAAAACAGTTACTGATTGCTTAGAATAGTAGCAAATGGCCGTGATACTATGTAGCAAAGATGAGAGTGGCTCAAACTGCAACATAGGGTTTTTCCTCTACACCAACAACTCAAAGCAAATAGTTACAGGCCTGAAAGAGTCTAACAAAAGACCTATACAATTAATTAAAATGTTAAGACAGTAAATAACACTGTGTTTATGTTCCAGACATAAATAACCACTGTTTAGCTGTTAAATATAGACAAAGTATATACACACATATGTAATATAAACAAATGGATCCATGTAGGTTCAATATGGGCAAAAGGAAAAAAGTCTTTCAGGTACTAAAGAAGAGGCGAAATAAAGGCATAAAGATACCAGACTAGATTAGACTTAAAGGTCTCTTTTAGTCCTATTACTCTATGAAGCCTGAGGTATTATTAGGGACACTCAAAATACTTCCTCCTTCACAACAGGGGAATACACAGACAACAGGGCTAGCAAAGCTAATGGTTTTAGGAAGGTATCTGGGGAGACATATAGGTCCACAGGAGCAAATCCCTCAGTGAGAGCTCTCATATTCTGCAGAGAGCTGGAAGGGAGGTGCCTGGTTTCAAATGGCTTTCATCTAGAGCCCACAGCAAAATGGAGTTCTGCAGGGTGGTTCCCTAACACTCATTCTTCTAGTTAAAGCAAGTTAGTTATTTCTAGTCTCTTTTTAAGAATAAGGGGAGAAAAAGAATAAATGAGAAAAATATTCAAGTATATTCCTGCCCCTTTCTAACCCAGTTTGGAAAATGTGTGCAAATTTGGATTTTGAATGAAATGCCTTTTAATAGGACTACAAAAAATATTTATCAGAAATAAATAAGAACCTCTCAGTTTGCAGGCCAGGTCCACATAGGTGGATATATATATATATATAATCCTTACAAAAAACACAGATACGGTGAATTTGTTAATTGTCTGAAATGAAGGATGAAGGCTTTTTAATCTGAATAAGGTAATAACTGAATATGAACTATGAATTTTTACTGTCTTATGTTTACTTTTTGGTTACTTATACACTATCACTGGGAAGATATTTTCAAGTTTAATAACAGCAATAGGTTTCTGCTAGGACCATTTTAAAACCACATTTTAACTATAACCACTTTATGTATTTCCAAGGATAGCAATGTAGTTTATGGTCTTGAAATAGATTTTCTGAGGAGGGGGGATGACGAACTAGTCTAGTCACTATAATCTGGGCCTCCAAGCATTAGGTATCACTAACCAATTGATCTATCTTGACATAATGCCAAGCAGTCTTATTTACAAAACTCTAAATAGTAAAAGAAATCCTTACTTCCCCATAGCCATCAGTGTGAATTTATTTCCTCCCTACCCAAGTTTTTCCTAACTTCTTCAATTCAGCTACCACGTTTGAAATGTGTTTTTAAATCTCCTTTTTTAACAGCCCCTAGGGCTGTTCCATAAAATTGATGGCTTAGGTCTAAAAATGGGGCCTATTCTGCCCTTTTAACAGTTTCAATGCTCAATGCTTAGATACTACTCTTCGAATGAATGAAATATTATTTTCTTCCACCATTTGGTACTTTAGTTTCGAGAACAAGTCTTTACAGTAAACCAAATAAATCTATTCCGTTTTCTAAAGCCCGCATCCTCCACATTATCATCTAAGTGGAGAATGCACTGCCTTTAAAGGACTAAGAAAATAAAGAGGCAAGACTCACTGATTAACTGTGGCAACATGAAAATAATCAGCTGAGCTATCCGGATAAGAATTCTGCATTTAATAGTGCTTCTGTAAAATTGTATGGATTTCGCAAGTCTTAGGGGTTCCTCCAAATTAAGGCAAGCCTCCTCTCCCATTCCTATGCCAGTCCCATGTTGGTTTCTTTCTGACTCGGCGCCCGCCCCCAGCCAGGCCCTTGCAGCCATGCGCCGCAGACTGCAGCACTGGCGCGCGCGGCCCGCAGGCGCGGAGGACCCCGCCCGGCAGGCCGCGCGAGGGGAGGGGGCTCCGGGCGCCGAGCCCGCCTCTGCGGCGGCCAGGCCGGGCGCCGAGTGGGCGCGCCGGGCCGGGGGAGTGGCCGCGGCCGCCGCACCGCCTGTGCCCGCCGGCCCCTCCCCAGCCGCTACTTAAGAGGCTCCGGCGCCGCCCCCGCCTCAGTGCGTTACTTACCTCGACTCTTAGCTTGTCGGGGACGGTAACCGGGACCCGGTGTCTGCTCCTGTCGCCTTCGCCTCTTAACCCGTAGCCACCATGGTGAGTGGGCCGAGCGCGGCGTCCGGCCTCGTTCGGAGAAACCGGGAAAAGCGAGCCGGAGAAGCGCGGAGAGCTTCTAGAGAGGGCTGCAATCGATGCCGTCCATTTGTAGGGCAGAAAGCGAGACCAGAGGCGAGGGCGGGAATAGATGAGACCTCGGTTTGTGGAGAATGGCGAGGGCCCAGCAAGAGGGGGGACGCCGGGGTTTCTTCTCGGATGCTGGGAGGGATGGCGGGGCGCCGGCTCCCCTCCGCCACATTGGGAGCTCTTTTAGCACCTAACTCCTTCGTGGAAGCGGCGCCTTAAGGCCCCGCGATCCTTTCCTGCGTGTGCCCTTCCCCCATCCTTCCCCCGCCTTTGGCGGGCGCGCGCGGACTCTCCCCGCCCTCACTTCCTCTGCGCGGAAAGCGGAGGTGGGAAGGAGCGGGAGACGAAAGCGCACGCGCAACCGTTACCTTCCCGCCGAAGAGCGGCGGGAAAGTGCCACTGCAGTCTGCGCAGGCGCGCCCGGTCGTGGCAGGACTTGCTGTAGGGTGTGTCTCCTGTTACCGTGAGTTTTATTTTTTTAATGAAAGCTGTAAGAAATGTGAGGAAGGTCTCCTGGACGGTGTGCCGCACTACACCAGTGTATTAGAACAATTCGCTCCCAACAGCCCGTAGAGGCCATCTGTTCCTCCCTGCTGCCTTAGGAATTCGTAAGGGAGCAGGTGGTGGCGGGGAGGGACTTTGAGGGAATGGAAATCGGATCTTGGCCTGGATCTGGGCCGCCGATAATCCCCTACTGCGGGGAGGACAGATGTGGAAGTGTTAGGCTGTGCCCAATGCTTGTGGGCAAGGGAGGATGGTGGCCAAGGCGTGGCCTCCGCAGACGTGGCCATTGCGTGCCTCTGCAGCTGCACGTCCCCACCGGCCGCAGGGGGGCGCGGATGAGCGCACCCCGAATTGCTCATTCATCCTGTGCCGCAGAGCCCCGCCCTTGTCCCTGTGCCCGACATTTCTTCTGCATTTTTTCTGGCCACGTGTTTCCTGTGCTAAGGGATGCCCGGAAATGTGGCCACCTAGTCTCAGGTGGGATTTTTGGGGTCTGAGTGCAGGAAGAATGGCCGCCTCCATATCGTGATCCTCCAGTGGAGGAAGTTGTGACTAAGCTTTTTTCTTGGTCTAGACTAAAGAGGCCTTGATTTAGCAGTGGGAGGATGTCGTTTTGAAAGAGGAAATTTGTGGCTGCCTACGGTGGCTCACCCATATAATGCCAGCACTTTGGGAGCACAAAGTGGGAGGGTTGCTTGAGGCCAGGGGTTAGAGACCCCATTTCTATAAAAAATATAGAAAAAGCAGCTGGATGTGGTGGCATACAGGAGGATCACTTGAACCCAGAAATTTGAAGTTGCAGTGAACTATGATGATGCCACTGCACTCTATCCTAGTTGTCAGAGTGAGACTCTTGTCTCAAAAAGAAATTTTTTTTAATAAGGAAATTTGTAGGATAATGATTACATGGATATTTTATTCCACTTGGCAGTCACCAATAGATTATTTTAAATTGTGATGTTTTGTGTTGTTTTTCTCCCTTCCCACAGCGTGAGTGCATCTCCATCCACGTTGGCCAGGCTGGTGTCCAGATTGGCAATGCCTGCTGGGAGCTCTACTGCCTGGAACACGGCATCCAGCCCGATGGCCAGATGCCAAGTGACAAGACCATTGGGGGAGGAGATGACTCCTTCAACACCTTCTTCAGTGAGACGGGCGCTGGCAAGCATGTGCCTAGGGCAGTGTTTGTAGACCTGGAACCCACAGTCATTGGTGAGTTGACCTCAGTAACTCAAGTGAGATCCTAGTGTGCTGCAATAAGAAGTCTGTCCTGGGGGCTCCATTGATTATACACACACAGTGTCTCCACCATCCCCTGCCAGGGCTGAGCAGGCCAGTGCAGGTAACTCAGTGATGGGTAGCTGGTTTGTTTCCCTTTTCCAGACGAAGTTCGCACTGGTACCTACCGCCAGCTCTTCCACCCTGAGCAGCTCATCACAGGCAAGGAAGATGCTGCCAATAACTATGCCCGTGGGCACTACACCATCGGCAAGGAGATCATTGACCTCGTCTTGGACCGAATTCGCAAGCTGGTAAACACCATGTAAAAATAGGTTTTTTAAATGGGGTGAGAGGTTTCCAGTGCAAGTACGATGGTGTGGCGGAACGACACCATTCATTGTTTGGTGCCTGCCAAAATGCAGAATAGGCTGCTTACTGTATTAATTAGACTTTTAAACCAGACAGTCCTGGGTTATGGGACAACTTGCTGATGTGTCTATTTTGCTAGTTCATCATGCTTAACATCAGGCTGACATGCTTCATAACTAAGAAAATGTGTCCTGGCATTAAAATACTACCTTTTCTATTTTCTTCTTCCTCTACAGGCCGACCAGTGCACAGGTCTTCAGGGCTTCTTGGTTTTCCACAGCTTTGGTGGCGGAACGGGTTCTGGGTTCACCTCTCTGCTGATGGAGCGCCTCTCTGTCGATTACGGCAAGAAGTCCAAGCTGGAATTCTCCATTTACCCAGCCCCCCAGGTTTCCACAGCTGTAGTTGAGCCCTACAACTCCATCCTCACCACCCACACCACCCTGGAGCACTCTGATTGTGCCTTCATGGTAGACAATGAGGCCATCTATGACATCTGTCGTAGAAACCTTGATATTGAGCGCCCAACCTACACTAACCTGAATAGGTTGATAGGTCAGATTGTGTCCTCCATCACCGCTTCCCTCAGATTTGATGGAGCCCTGAATGTCGATCTGACAGAATTCCAGACCAACCTGGTGCCCTATCCCCGCATCCACTTCCCTCTGGCCACATATGCCCCTGTGATCTCTGCTGAGAAAGCCTACCATGAGCAGCTTTCTGTGGCAGAGATCACCAACGCTTGCTTTGAGCCAGCCAACCAGATGGTGAAATGTGACCCCCGCCACGGTAAATACATGGCTTGCTGCCTGTTGTACCGTGGTGATGTGGTTCCCAAAGATGTCAATGCTGCCATTGCCACCATCAAGACCAAGCGCAGCATCCAGTTTGTGGATTGGTGTCCCACTGGCTTCAAGGTTGGCATCAATTACCAGCCTCCCACTGTGGTACCTGGTGGTGACCTGGCCAAGGTACAGAGAGCTGTGTGCATGCTGAGCAACACCACAGCCATTGCTGAGGCCTGGGCTCGCCTGGACCACAAGTTTGACCTGATGTATGCCAAGCGTGCCTTTGTTCACTGGTACGTGGGTGAGGGGATGGAGGAAGGAGAGTTTTCTGAGGCCCGTGAGGACATGGCTGCCCTTGAGAAGGATTATGAGGAGGTTGGTGTGGATTCTGTTGAAGGGGAAGGTGAGGAAGAAGGAGAGGAATACTAATTATCCATTCCTTTTAACCCCCCTGCAGCATGTCATACTCCCAGAATTTCAGCTTCAACATTAGCTGACAGACATTAAAGCTTTCTGGTTAGATTGTTTTCACTCAGTGGTGATCATGTCTTAACTTTTCCATGTGTACCTGTAAGATTTTTTCCATCATGTTTTAAAGTAAAGGCATTAAGAAAAAGTTTTTTCTCCTGTGTTTTTTTTCTAAATCTGCCTTGATTTTTGCAGTTCATCTATACCTGTAGTACAGAGTCCTTGCAACATATGTTGATGATACTATATTATCACACTCATCTTTTGTCACCTAAATTTTTTCATGGGGGCTGAGGAGGATGATGGAAGTTATTCTGTTAATCCAGAGTTTATTTAGCACTTGGGAATATGACTGGGTAGTTGCTAATGGGTTAGGTATAAGAAGTGAATAGTAGCACTTAGGGAGACAGAGGTGGGAGGATCACTTTAGGCCAGGGGTTTGAGACCAGCCTGAGCAACATAGGGAGAAAAATGGAGACTCTTTTTGCTACAAAGAAAAAAGAAAAATAAGTAGTTTTGAGTATCCTGAAAATCACTGCTTTTTAAAGTGACCTGCTAACCTGTCCATGTAATTTTAAATTTCTTTTTATAAAATCCCAGAATTATCCTTGAATTGGGAAATAGCTGGCTAGAAGAGTGTTAATGGGTGATGAGGTAAAAGCTGTGTTTTCCAGCCGTATGATGATAGGAAAAAGTTACAGGACCAGAATTCATGGTAGTCAACAAGTCATTCTGCTAGGGGGAAAAAACAAACATTGAAAAATAAGCCATGTGCATTGGCAAAGGACTGTATTATGTGAGGATGAGGTAGGAACATTTGTAAAGGTTAGAATGGAGTTGACAATTTGTAGCACTTGGCATGTAAAGAAGATAGGCAAAGATGGTGCAAATGGAAGATTTAACCTAGGAGAAAATAGATTTCAAATTCAGAAAGCACAGGGACAATTATTAAGGTTGCCAAGGACATTGATAATGTCTTGGTTTAAGAGAAACGAAAACCGATTTTCCCAAATTTTTTTCTTAGCCCATAAAGCCTATAAATTTACAAAATAAAGTCAGCTCTCCCTATCTGTGGGTTCTACATGCATGGATTTTTTTTTTCTTATGCATGTCCTCTAGGTTCAGACATCCATGGATTAAACCAAGAGTGGACTGAAAATACTGGGGGGAAAATGGATGGCTGCATGTGTACTGAACATGTACAGACTCCCTGGCGTTATTCCCTAAACAGTTCAGTATAATAACTTTATATGGCATTTATGTTGTGTTAGGTATTATAAGCAATCTGGAGATGATTTAAAGTGTATGGGAGGGCTGGGCCTGGTGGCTCACGCCTATAATCCTAGCTGGGAGGCCAAGGCGGGAGGATCACTTGAAGTCAGGAGTTTGAAACCAGCCTGAGCAAGAGCAAGACCCTGTCTCTACTAAAAAAAATAGAAATTAGCTGGACAACTAAAAAAAAATTAAATAAATAAATTATATATATATATATAATTAGGTGGGCGTGGTGGTGCATGCTTGTAGTCCCAGCTACTTGCTACTCAGGGGGCTGAGACAGAAGGATTGCTTGA